TCCACGTTGTTGATACTGGCAAGGGCCTGGCTCAGTCGGTGGGCAGTGATGGGATGGGCCCGGCTAGATGGAATCTCCGGGCCTGCTGAAGTGGACGGGCCAGGAGGAATGGCTGCAGAAGTGGAAGGTCCGGGAGGCATCTCAGCAGAAATGGAGGTCGGGTCAGCAGGGCCTCTACCACAACTGGCTCTTCAGACTGGCCAGTTGGGGCAGAAGTAGGGGCTTTGTAGTTCTTGTCCTTGGGGTTGTCATTCCCCTTCAAGCTATACCAGGAGAACGGGGCTGTCGCCTTGACCTTGACATCATAGGGCTTCTTGTCCACCTTCAGGTCCCGAAAATACATAGTGAGGGTACTCGGGAAGGGTTAGTTCCGGTCATGCTCAGCTCCTACTAGCGAGATAATATGGGACATCACATTCCCCATATTTATGGGGTACCTCGCCATAATTGAAGCAACCAACACAGGCCGGTGGAGAGGAAGGGTCTGATCATGTGTAGTAGGGTCCAACCGGCTGCAAACAAAGGTCTCCCAACCCCTAGCCTCAACGTTTAGGGTCCTCCTCAATATTTTGACCCCAGCAGTCAACCAATCAGGAAGGGTACCTGGGGTTGCCAGGTACTGAGCTAACCATGGACGAACCTCCTCGCCCATCTCCAACTTTGCCATATACAAAGTCTCATCCTCCTCGTGGAAGCCCAAGTATTCGTTGAGGTATTTCCCATCAAACAACACTTTCTTGTTGCGAACCTTGGTCACTTTGGAGCCCTTTTTGATGTGGGCTACATTGCAGTAGAATTCCTTGACCATGTGTTCATTAGCATCTACACAGTCATCTAAGAAGTACTCCCAACCCACTCTAGTTTTGAACTGTCTCTACACGTCAGGGTTGTGGGGTAATAAATCTCTGTCAATGAAGCTCCGCTCCGGTATCAACTTTCTCACCGGCCACCACTTCCTAAACTTGTGGTACGAACCTGGCTCACAAACCTATCCTCCCAAACATCAGGCTTCCTAGTTCGGTCAATGCCTCCAACCTGAGGCTCACCACCCTCAGCTCTCTCCTCATCCCCTTGTACTTCCTCCTCACCTCCGTCTGCACCCTCCCCGGATACTGAAGCTGTGGGAGAGGTGGAGTAATCACCACTGCCGGCTGTTGAGCCCTCAGACGACTCAGTGGAAACATGCTCTGGTGCTTGGGCAGTGGTTGGTGGTGGAGGAGTATCTCTTAGCCTAAACCTCTCCGGCCAGTCTTCAACATACTCTGGCACAGAGTCTGAAGAAATGTCCCTTGACGGTTGGTACTCACTCCCCGAGGAATGGGAAGCAGCTCTGTCTGTAGCTTTGATGAGTTTCCTGGTCTTTTTTATGTTCTCCTGATCTTGGGGAGTGAGTATTACCATCTTCTTCTTCCCTCCCCGGGAGGGTTCTCCTTTTCCTGGTTGTTTTGAGCCTTTTCTCACCATTATCTGCAAACACAATTCAAATAGCTTGTTAGTATTAATCAATGCAGTTCAAGTTATTGCAGCAGAACACATTGCATACAGGTTCATAGTGTTGCAGAGAGTGCCTAGTGCGGACCGCACAAAACGGACCGCGGACTACACAAGAATGACCGCGGTCCGCACAGGTATAGGAGTTCCAAAAACAAACTCTCTGAATCCCACCAGTGCGGTCCGCACAAAACCAACCGCGGCCGCACTGGGCTAGTGCAGACCGCACAAAATGTAGTGCGGCGGCACTGGGCAAAAGTCACTTGGACACAAGATGGCACCGCGGACCGCACATAAATGACTGCAGTCCGCGGTACGTGTCCAGACATGGCACTGAGTTAAGGTTTGAGGTTTAGCTAATTAGTTCAAATTTTCACCTAGTTAGGGTCCCTACTCAATTACCCAGTCCATTATACTCACCAAGTCCACAAAAATTGCCATTTAAACTAACCTAATCTAACAATTAGAGAAATATGAGGAGAAGAAGAGCTACCAGTTAAGGAATATGAAAATAAAATGAAATTACACAATTACACAAAGATGAATTGAGTGAAATGTTACCAGATAATGAGATGAAGTGAAAATAATCAATGTCAAGCAAGAGTTACGATGAAAATGCTCAAGATGAACAGTAAAAGGGGGCTCTGAGAGTTTAGGGTTCGAAAAGGGTAAAAGGAGGCCCTTGGGGTCTATTTATAGAGAAACCCCTGGGGCCCATTCTCACCTACCAGTGCGGCCGCACAAAATGGACCGCGGTCCGCACTGGTCTATCATGATCAGTTCCCACTTAGTAACCCACCGCGGTCCGCATACAATGGATCGGGACCGCGGTGTTCCACCGCGGACCGCACCAAATCAACCGCGATCGCAGTGGCAAACTTCAGAGAGCAATTTTATCACCCTTTTGCTAGTGCGGACCGCACAAAGTGTAGTGCGGCCGCACTGGAAACTTCAGAGACTGTGCAATTTTTCAATTATGTCCTGCACTGCATCAACNGTAGGTGCAGGAGGATTTGATATTGTTGATGATATTAAAACTGCATTAGAGAATGTATGTCCTGGTGTTGTATCTTGTGCAGATATTTTAGCCCTTGCATCTGAAATTGGAGTTGTCTTGGTAAGAGATCACAAATATGACATTTTTCAAGTTTCAAAAAATATGAAAAAGTCTTGCTTAATTATTTATTTTCTCCCCTTTTTTCAATTATTGAAGTCTTTCCTAACTATTATAAATCATCTTGGCTCTAAAAGCTAACAACATGAACTTATTATAATACTCCCTTCGTCTCATATTAACGGTCGTGGTTACTAAAATAGTTGTCTCAAATTATTTGTCATTTTAGAAGTTCAAGACAAAACTGATTAATTTTTTCTTGTTTTACCCTTAGTAATAATTGTTCTTGAAGATGGAGATAACACATAAATAGAATAAATATTCAATGAAAAGAGATTATATCTTATGACATAAATAAGGGTAGAATAGTCCAATCTCTTTCCTAATTAATATTTCTTAAGGATTGTATAAAAGAGAAACACGACACATAATATGAGACAGAGGGAGTATCAGGCACATTTGAGAGAATTACCACTTAAATTTGTTAAAGACAACTGGGATTCTACTAATTTAAGTATTATATACACTGACAGTATAAAAAAATTTCAGGCCGGAGGTCCGTCATGGCAAGTACTTTTTGGCAGAAGAGATAGCTTAACAGCAAACCTATCTGGAGCTAATAGTGATATTCCTAGCCCCTTTGAAACCCTTGCTGTAATGACACCACAATTCACCAACAAGGGAATGGATTTAACTGATCTTGTTGCTCTATCTGGTAAAGAATTTTTACACGATCAGTATATTTTTATTTGTTAAAAAACACCCAACATGGGTGTGTTAGCCCGGCCCACTACTAGAAATTCGGCAAAAACTGACTAATTTTGGTCGGTAAAAAAACCGGCCAAAAACCGACCAAAGTTGATCGGTTTTTCAAAATATTTTAATTTTTAATTTTTTTTTTTACGAAACCGATCAACTTTAGTCGGTTTTCTTTGGCGCAAAAATGCGTGAAACTATTTTTGAGTCCCGCAAAATTTATTTTTCAAGAAACCGACCAACTTTAGTCGGTTTTTGCAATTAAAATAAATAAAAATTAATATTAAAAAAACCGACCAACTTTGGTCGGTTATTTTCGTACGAAAATACAATTAAAGAGTATAAATAAATAAAAAAAGACAATCTTAAAACAAAATGCACTAATGATCTAGTGGTAGAATAGTATCCTGCCACAATACACACTCCTGTTCGATTCCCAGACGGTGAATCTTTTGATTACATAGTTTTTTTTTTTTTTTGCAATATTTTTTTTTTTGAATTTAATTTACCGACCAACATTGGTCTGTAATTTCCGACCAAATTTGGTCGGTATACTAAAGCGACCACCAAAATACCGTCCAAGCGTATTTGGTCGCATTTTGGTCGGTAATTGGCCATAACCGACCAAAGTTGGTCGGTTTTTTTTGGTCGCTAATTACCGAATTTTTAGTAGTGGCCGTAAACTTGATCAAAAAAGAAAAAAACATATTTGTTATAATACGTAATACATCTTATTTTACAGGTTACTAGTCTCACTTTTTATGGACAGTACGTGTAATTATCTTTTAACGACTTAGTTATGTAAAAAAACTTACCTGTCATTATATAGGAGTTAATTTGAGATTGAAACGTATTTGATTGATTTCATGTTAACAACATTTTCTCTAAGGGTAAAGATTTAACATGTTCTAGCATGTTAGTACTTACCATTTATACAAAAATTACATGTAGTTATCTCTTAAGTAATCCGATTGTATAATTATTTTTCATTCTGTTAATGCATAAAACTTAAAAACGTTCTAAATATATAGGTGCACATACATTTGGAAGAGCAAGATGTGCTACTTTTGAACGACGTCTGTTTAATTTCAGTGGCAGTGGTAATCCTGATCCTACCGTAGACGCTACGTTTTTACAAACTTTACAAGGAATTTGTCCTCAAGGTGGAAATAATGGCAATACTTTTACAAATCTTGATATATCAACACCTAATGATTTTGATAATGACTATTTCACTAATCTTCAAAATAATCAAGGACTTCTTCAAACTGATCAAGAGTTGTTTTCAACATCTGGATCTGCTACAATTGCTATAATAAATCGTTATGCTGGTAGTCAAACTCAGTTTTTTGATGATTTTATTAGCTCAATGATTAAATTGGGTAATATAAGTCCATTAACTGGTACTAATGGAGAGATTAGGACAGATTGCAAGAGGGTTAATTAATTAATTAATCAAGCAGATTAGTTATCAAGAGTGCTTTAATTACTGCATGTTCTTGTGTTGTTTAATCATGTCCTAAAGAAAGATTGTCAGAAGTTTGATGTCTTGAGTTGTAATTTTTTTTCATCTTTTTGTCGCTTATTTTGTTTTACGTAAATGTAATATGTGCTGAAATGGCAATTCCAATAAGGATATTATGCTTAAATAGCAATTCCAATAATTAAGGATTTAATCCATCTCTTTCTTTTTGGAGTATATTTTTCAGTTATTCTTGTTTATTTCTGTTACACTATCCGATTGTTTTAAAAATTCAATTACAAGTTTTATGTAACAATATCAGTAACTTACAGAAGATAGTAAATGAGTAGTATGTTACAACGAATTAAAATATATAATAATGTAAAAATATTTTATAATAAGTTAAATCCAAATCATCACTAAAATACCCACAGTTACGTCACTAATCATGTGATGAGAACATGTTCGACATGGGCCAATTTCAGAAATTATACGCTGAGCCAAAAAGAAAAAATTAAAGCTATCAAATTATTTGAAAATCAATTACAAGTTACTTTCTGTTTACAAAGATGCATTTGTAACTTATAAAATATGGTAAATAACCTTATTCACCGGATAAAAATACACTAACATTGTTAAATAACAGGAAAAGCGCAGTGAGAGTATACAATGTATGGGTCGAAATCCGGCTTAGGAAGTTAGGCGTGGGAAGATCGTTAAGTGAGAAGACTGCGTTTAGAATTGGGCGGCTAGGCCGAGGTCGACCAAAGCCCAACAACGAGCAGTCGCTAAGCAAGTTGCAAAGGCCGAGGTCGAGTAGCGAAGAGTAGGAACAACGGGTAGTGTAGTCTTGGAACTAGCGACAGGAATATTCTCTTGAATATTCTCCTTGTTGTACTTTTTAGGATTTTTAGAGAATATCCCATATAAATAGAAAGAGAGAGAAGAAAGGGGGCACGTGAGATTCTTCCTTGCCACTCACACGATCCAAGAAAAGATTGTTCATTTCCTCACTTATTGCCATATTCTGTTGTCAGGAGGAAGAATTCTCCACATCATTCGACATTTGGGTGAATTGTTCTTCCTATTTACATTTATTGCCATTTTCATACTTGTTGCTCATCATTCATTCTTCATTTATTCTCCAAAGCGTGCATTTAATAACTTAACAACCAATTCTGCGCATTAAGTAGATGGTATCATTGAAATACTTAGCTAGATCTAAGAATTATTATGCTTGACTAGAATTCACCTCTCACCTTAGTTATCTTTTAATTAGTTTAACAAAGAGTGTTATACTTTTTTGTCAAACAAATTGGTGCCGTCTGTGGGGACTTTCTAGTCAAAATCATAGTCTTTCTAGACTACAAAAACATACCGATAGCAAAATACAGGACTTCCTTCCCCTACTTGCATAATCTACCATGGCAGAAAATGGAGAAAAAAGACTAAAAGCAGTGGCAGGCCTTACTACTAATCTGCTAAACACAATCAATGAAACTCACGGAGAGGACGAGGAGAACGTGACCACGTACGCCTCACCTAGGCGAAGTGATTCACCCCCCCCCCCCCCATGGCAGCATTACCGCTTCTCATGGCTTCTCATGGGAAGGGAGCCTCTACGTCCACTACGGAAGAAGCACCACCAGCGGTAAAAAAGCTACTAGAGGCATGGCTAACGAATACACTGAACAGTATACTCGACAAAACCGCTCAGAGGGCGAGTAGAGAAGGTGTGCGAGTCGACATCGCCACAACAACGAATGAGCAACACACCCAGCCTCCCTCGACAGGTATCACTCACTCTGTTAATGATGCAGGTAACGACGCCCTCGCTTCCATCCTTAGAAAAATGGAGGAGATGGTGAACGAGAACAAATCACTCCGCGACCGAATGAGAGAGCATCAAGAAAGGGTAGATAAGATACCGGGCAACCCAAAACTCCTACCAAAGCGGGACGTCGACCGGTTTGTGGAGCAACCCTATAGCGACGAGGCAGCACCATATGCTATACCCAAAACATTCAAGATACCACCATACCTGAAGATATGCGACGGTACAACGGACCCTGAGGATCACATCATCCACTACGTCACCGTAGTGAATTGCAACGACCTAGCCAAAGAGCAGGTGCCATCTATATTGCTGAAAAAGTTTGGTGAAACCCTAACCGGGGGAGTATTAAAATGGTACTCAAAACTGCTTGCACGATCCGTACAGACATTTGAAGAAATGGCCGATAAGTTCGTCACCGTCCATGCAGGGGCCAAGAAAGCGGAAGCCAGGGTGAATAACATATTCGCCATCAAATAGTCACACGGCGAAGGGCTCAGGGACTTCCTCGCCCGGTTGAACAGAGTGAGAATGACCCTTCCAAATGTATCAGGGGATGGAAGTAGCAGCTTTCCAAAACGGGCTGAATAGGAGCAGGTCAAGCGACCAAAAAACTGTTGAACAGACTCATGAAGTACCCTCCCACCACTTAGGAAGAAATACATAACACTTATTGTGCCGAGGTGAGAGCGAACGAGGACGACCTCAATAGGCCAACCCAGCGGTTAATGTCAGTCCAGATAGAGTCGAGAAAAGACCGCAGAAATGACAACAAGAGAGATCATGCAGGTCCACGCCTCAATCGCAAAAGACACCAACCGTACACCAGAACGGCTGTCATACCACCTCATCGTCACAGTGACGGCTCACCCAGGCCACACACAAGGACTCACCGAAGCGAAAGAGGTATGCCTCCACTGTTATCTACTCATAACTTCTGTGTTTCTCCTTCAGAGATAGTCTACGCTCTAAAGAAGCTCGGCCCTAAGGTGAAATGCCCACAAAAGATGAAGTCTGACCCAAACACCAGAAAATCGAATGTTCTTCGTGAATTCCACCAGGAACGAGGCCACAAAACCGAAGACCGCATCGCCTTGAGGCAGGAGGTAGTAAATATGCTCAACCAGAGGCATTTGAGAGAATTGATGAGTGACCGAGGAAGAACGAACTTCGCTCGTGGACGAGAATAACATCAGGAGCCATCCAAACCACCTTCCCCAGTTCGGACCATTCAAATGATTATTGGAGGAGGCGACGACGCATCTATCAACAGCGTGAAGTTCACCACCACCCACAAACTCAAGCGGTCAATCACCCACGAACGGTATGACGAACTCGAAGAAGGTATCATCTTCGATAAGTCAGATACCCACAGTTTGGTCTTTCCTCACTATGACGCCCTTGTCATTACTTTACGTGTTTTTGATACTGATATAAGACGTATCATGGTCGATGATGGAAGCAGCGCGTGCATCATCCATCCTCGAGTTTGCACCCAAGTGAAGCTCGAGGACAGGATAGTGCCACGCTGCATCACGCTAACAGGTTTTAATAATGCAGTTGAGCGGACATCTGGAAAAATCACGCTGCCCATCTTGGCTGGCGGCGTCACCTTGGAGACCACGTTCCACATCATAGACTAGGATACGGCATATAACGCCATCATAAGCCGACCATGGATACACGCCATGAAAGCCATCCCCTCCAGTTTGTACCAAGTCATTAACTTTCCCACCCCCTAGGGAGTATTCTGCATACAGGGAGAGCAACGCACGGCCCGAGAATGCTATCGCATCGCCCAAGACTGCACATACACCCAATAGTTGAAAGGAAAAGCCGAGGAAGCATAGCAACTAACGAAGCTGGGGTCGGATGGCGATGAAAAGAAACACGTCATCAGCGACCCTAAAATCATAGAAGCCACAGGGTCAACCGTAGAGGAACTCGACCTCGTCCAACGGTGGGTCCCGGCCGAACTTATATGAATTAGTCATTTTGAACAAGTAAACAGTTTCAACACATATTTGCAAATGAAGGCATGTTTTCATATTCTAAATACAGGTACGATTTAGGTAATGGGAGCAAGAGAGAGATTTGAACAACTTGCACATATGTAAAAAAAAGTGAATTCATTTAAACAAAGGGAGTTGGGAAAGAGGGGTCATAGGTTGGTTAGCCTATAGGATCATACCCACACAATGCCCGGTGATCACTCCTGAATGAGGGGCTACACGTGACATTAGCGCGTAGTCATCATATCCTTACTACCCAATTCCCTCCCCTTGGTCATAGCCTAAAGCGTTCTAGCAACCTTGAATGATATCCTATGCGTGCACTACCCGTCCCTTCCTTGTGGCCTTGGAGGTATTTAGGACCTCTAATTTAGGTAGTTCTAGACTATCCTAAGGTACTTAAAAGAGAAAAATCTAGGCGTCAACCAAAAACAATTAGGACTGCACTAAAGAGAGAGCAATTAAAGGCTCACATTTACCTCCACAAACAAAGCAAGCAAGTGCACGTCTTAAACACTTTGTAGGTATATCTAGGTGAGCAGAGAATATGCAGTATTGAGTTAGGACCAAGGTGTAAAAGAACTTAATCCATTTGCCTACTGATTCTTAAACCTGTTGAATATGAGCAGTCCCAAAAACAAGGCGTAGTTTTATAGTTTGCAGAATTCTAGTCGCCCTACAGGCTTGGCTAGGCGTATAATAGTGATGTCCTATGAGCATGGTATCTAATAATTGATCAGTAATGTAGTAAAACAGTAAGCAACCTTAAACGGGCAATTTGAATCCTATAGGCATGCTTTCTAGTGATATTGATTAATGCAGCGTTGAAAACTTATTAAAGAAACGTACAGATTGGTTAATGATTCAGAATCTACAAACATGAGTTAAACTGGTTTTAGATCTAATTAAAGCTGATTTAAATCCTATAGGCATGATTTCTAATTAAACATAAGGTGAAACAAGCAGAATTTATTTGAGCAAAAGCGAAATCCCTATAGGCATGATTTCTATTAAAGCCGATTTTAAATCCTATAGGCATGATATCTAATTATATGAAATGGAGCAGGTAGAATTCATTTCAACCAAGAAATCCTATAGGCATGTTATCTACCCAACTTTATCCACAATATACAACCACCCTCCCTTTTCACTAGTCACCCAAATGTTTGTTTATAATTAATTATTACAGACCAAGAATTGAATAATTACATAAATATAAATATACATTAAACTATAGGGAGCCTGAAGTAGGCCCAAAGTAGTTTCCACGCCTTCAGTAGCCTCAAGTGCTCAAAGTTCCATAGCCAATTTCATGTCTAGGTGTGTCAGAGTTCCCTAAGGACCTCAAGGATCCCG